GAGATTTCTCGTTGAAATCATAAAAACGCGCTTTTAATAAAAAACGCTGAGTAAGTCGTAAAAAAAACGTGTTTTTAATAAAAAGTCGAGTAAATCGTAAAACCTTGCGATTAACTCGAGAAATTTATTAAAAACGACGTCAGGTCAGGAAACGATTCCGTAAAAGTCGGAAAACGGTTTTTATCGCAAAACGGTCCGGAAGGACCTAAAACGCGATAAAACCCATCTCGCGATTTCAACGGAATCAAACCCGCGGATTTGATAACGTTTTGACGGTTTACTCGCAGAAAGAAAATAAAGGTCAAGTTTAAACATAAAAGGAAGATTTGAAGAGAAATAGAAGATTTCCGCAGAAGAAAAGGAAGGATCGAGAAGAATGGAAAGTTCCCGATTTAAGTCAAATCTGGGCGAAATGGAAAGATCGGATAGCCAAGATGAGGAGTATATAAAGAAGAGGTCTAGGGCAGAAGCAGACACACGAAAATTCAGAGCTCTCATCACCAAAATTAGCATTTTAGGAATCTTTCCGTTTTTCTGTTAGCGAACTGCGTCTCAATTAGGGTTTTCTAAGTTCTTACGTTTACGGCTACTCTTTTTGTAACCAGTTCAACGCAGATTCGGAATAAGAACCTCTTTGCTCTCTGTTTTCGTTTATTCTCATTTAAATTCTAAGTATTTTCGTCATCTTATTTTCGTTGTGCGGTTCTCGCAGNTTTAGGAATCTTTCCGTTTTTCTGTTAGCGAACTGCGTCTCAATTAGGGTTTTCTAAGTTCTTACGTTTACGGCTACTCTTTTTGTAACCAGTTCAACGCAGATTCGGAATAAGAACCTCTTTGCTCTCTGTTTTCGTTTATTCTCATTTAAATTCTAAGTATTTTCGTCATCTTATTTTCGTTGTGCGGTTCTCGCAGCCGGTTCCTCTGGAAACTTAGGGTTTTCCCGAAGTTTCCTTTTTTACGATTTATTTGACAGTAAGGTGAAATCGACTCCCACAGTTTGGCGCTAGAAGGAGGGGGGGTCGGATCTATCTTACACCGTAACCGCAACATGACCAACGAAGAAACGATGGCTGGTGACAACCAAACTCGCGACGAACGCGACAACGTTG